TACCATGCATGCACTCCACACTGACACTCCCCCTTTGCTAGGGATATACCATGCATGCACTCCACACTGACACTCCACCTTTGCTAGGGATATACCATGCATGCACTCCACACTGACACTCCCCCTTTGCTAGGGATATACCATGCATGCACTCCACACTGACACTCCCCCCTTTGCTAGGGATATACCATGCATGCACTCCACACTGACACTGCCCCTTTGCTAGGGATATACCATGCATGCACTCCACACTGACACTCCACCTTTGCTAGGGATATACCATGCATGCACTCCACGCTGACACTCCACCTTTGCTAGCCATATACTTTTCACACCATACCGCCACCCCTATCTCCTAGCAATACACCTTGCATGTTAATGCTGAAAACACTGGTATGTGAATGTGACAGACTGATTTGGTCACTATGCTAATTGGCGTAGGACCAATCTCTAGCTGACTTACTCCAGAGAAAGAGAATACTAGGCAGAGACTAGGCCTAGCAGTGAGGAGACACTGTATATGGGTGATGTAAACGTCATATTTATTGTTCTTTAATCAATGTGCTGGTGCAGATATACTGCATTTAGAACTTTCCACACCCAAGAAAATGTTTCAGCAAAAATATTGAATTGCTAGACAACTCTTTATGCATCAGTAACATTAGGAGCGCATTAGACTGTGACTGGTATATTTTTGAGATAGAATCCCCTTTAGATGACGGGCACCAAACGAATGAATTGATTACCGTATACAGAGAAATCAAAGGACGGAACAATCTCTAACAATGAGCTTTCTTTCTGCACTATGTGCAACCGAAACTACCCTGAGGTTAATCAACTCAAATCTAAAGCTATAAAACAATATGTAAATTCATTTTTCTAGTAAAACACTAGTTGGCAATGTCTTCTTGTTTTATTATTATTCTGGTAATGATTTGCATGTAATGTCTGAGACTATTACTCAGTAAATCGTATACATTACTCACTTCTGTGTTTTTCATTAAACCACACTGTGGGCAGGGCGAGATCTAACATGCTGAAGGTGCACAAAACAAAATGTCACCAAGGGGTTGATATAGGTTTATCGTAGTCCTCTAAGTGAAGGAGTAATGCAGAGCTCCTTATCAACTAACACTGGGAGAAGCAGTTTGTAGGAGATACAGAACTTAATCGGTCAGCAGCCGTGAGGACTCAATGATTAGGCCAACACGCAATTGTGGAGACGTAAGGGTGAACTTTCCGGGGTCGTCACCTCAGGCTCAATATCAGTATTTCAAAAATAATATGAAAGCGTTTTTAGAAGAAAAATTATATAGAGTCTGCAACACTTTAGGATTTGTGGTTGGTGTTCTATATTCTACCACAAGTAGACTTGGCAACAATTTGACCAAAACCGGTCAACTTGTCGAGCCTTATTGGAGACTCATCTTTATTTTTGTTATATAGCTTGGAAATCCAAAGCTCCATTTGTCCCATATCTTGTAGAGACAGTGTTTAGGATATACAGATCCCCGTATTTCATCTCTAGTGAAAGCAGCAATCAGCAGACACAGAGCCCTGCATTTGTCGTTTATAGTCAAAGCAGAATTTAGTATTATAGAAATACAGAGTGACTACCACTGCTGACTTATTGACTGTTAAAGGGGAATTGCCAATTCTCTGGATTTTTTGATATTAGGTTTACGTATCTCTGTATTTATCACATATGTACTTGAGAGTTCTGAAATATAAAACGAAATGTAAAAATCCTTACATCTTTATCCTGCAATGGGCTCCTCCATCTTGGCTTTCTGTCAATCATTGTTATAAGCTCTGTCCTTCGCAGCTGGGAGACAGTGTAACCACAGAGCAAACATACAAAGAAGAAAAGATATGAAACACTGTTACAATTTCTCCTCTTCATTTGCAACATTTATTTTCTGAACTTGATTATGATGCAATTTGCTAAATCTTTAATATAAATTTAAAAGAAAATAAAGCATCTCACAAGAAAATAGTTAAAGGAACACTATAGTCACCTAAATTACTTTAGCTAAATTAAGCAGTTTTAGTGTATAGATCATTCCCCTGCAATTTCACTGCTCAATTCACTGTCATTTAGGAGTTAAATCACTTTGTTTCTGTTTAAGCAGCCCTAGCCACACCTCCCCTGGCTATGATTGACAGAGCCTGCATGAAAAAAAAAAAAAAACTGGTTTCACTTTCAAACAGATATAATTTACCTTAAATAATTGTATCTCAATCTCTAAATTGAACTTTAATCACATACAGGAGGCTCTTGCAGGGTCTAGCAAGCTATTAACATAGCAGGGGATAAGAAAATCTTAATTAAACAGAACTTGCAATAAAGAAAGACTAAATAGGGCTCTCTTTACAGGAAGTGTTTATGGAAGGCTGTGCAAGTCACATGCAGGGGGGTGTGACTAGGGTTTATAAACAAAAGGGATTTAACTCCTAAATGGCAGATGATTGAGCAGAGAGGCTGCAGGGGCATGTTCTATACACCAGAACTACTTCATTAAGCTAAAGTTGTTCAGGTGACTATAGTGTCCCTTTAACACAAATTATAGGTTATTTTGTAAGTTTTATTCTGTTGTCCTCTTTACCCACTAACATTCTCTTTGTTTGGAAGGTGCCAGTCCTGTAGATATCTGACACTTCTGTGTATTTTCAATAATACCTTGTGCTGCAGAAAGTACTATAAAATACCCAAATTTTCTAATTAAATTCTAAAAAAAATATTTTAACTGAACCATGAACCTATAGAACAGTCATGTGGAACTTTGTATTTGTATTATTGTTATTTGAGAAAAAAAAGTAGTTTTGTCGGTTTTGTGTATTTTTGTGTGAATGTTTTTTTTTTATGTTCCATTTTGGATAAGTCTTTTTCTCTACATCAAAGTAACAGGTTGAAACAATCAGAATTCCTTTGATGATGGTTGCAAGTTGGCTCGTGCAACACATTCCACTCAGTGTAAGAAATATTTCTTATAAATAGATCATTGTGAATCAGAACACACAGACAGTCCCCTTAAGGGCCCACGCAAAGGATGCTGTGTCCCATCAAAGGCCGGTGAGGACCTCCTTTATTATCCCAGTGCACCCATTGTTGGGAGTGAGAGGCAAAGGGATTCTGGCCTGCACCCAGGGATGTATTTAGCCCAAGGCAAACTAGGCATTTGCCTTGGGCGCTACTATTTAGTTGGCTGCCCCCAAATGCCCACTAAGGCGTCCCCTGTAATTCCCGTCATGGTGGGGGGGCAAGAGCTGACCTGCTACAGCAGTCGGTGTGTGCGTATTCAGCAGTCTGTATGTATTGTATGTATGTATGTATTGCATTTGTTGGAGGTACCAAGAAATATAAGCTTAATTTTATCAATAATTTACATTTTTATTCCTGTAAGTTGTTCTGCAGGCAGGGCCCCAGTGCAGTGCTTTGCCCGGGGGCCCATATAACTGGTAAGATGGCACTGATGCCGGTTACCACAGCAACGCTCTGATACTGTTAAGGAGCCTAAATTTGCAATAAGAAATACACAAGGTCTGCACCTGGCAGAGGAGCAGACCAGAAGCTCTTGCAATTGGATGAATAAGAACTTCCCTTACCCTTGCTCAATCTAACAAGAGGGAGGGGGTAGGGAGGGGACTTGTTTTTATAAAAAACAAAACAAAAAAAACCCCACAAACACTACACTACAAAATACACCTTTACCTGTTTAGCCAAAACACCCTTGCCTTGCTTTTTGCTTGCACATTAGTAAAATAAACATAATATATATTCACCTGTCAGCATTCAGACAATACCGATGGAGGATCTCTTTACCAATATCAGTGGGGCATTGTTGTCTTTGTTGTACCCAAGCAAGAGTTTATTTCCAAAGTTGTTAGGTTTTACTATGAAGCCACTATCTCACCACAACTAAAACCTAACTCAGCCGGGCGTAAAGAGAAAGGGCAAATGAACAAATGCAAAATCCCATACATCCTACTGGGGAAAAAAACAGGGAGAATATTTCATTGTATGTACACACTAACATGCATCAAAGACATGAGTTCAAAAATAAATTGTTGCAAAAGCAATATGCCCGTATCATTATATGGTATGTAATTGGGTTTGAGAAACTAACAGCTAATATTGACCTACATATCTCAATTGCTACAGCAGCCCACACAAAAAAATTGCCACTATCCCTTGTGCCTATCCCGGCAAGGCTGATCACAGATGGCAGTGCGCATGTATAGGGTAAGCCATGATACTGTACAGTTATGGTTGCCAGGCTAACGGGTTAATGCATCTTTTTCTGTTTTCTTCACTAACAGTGAATAGCAAGACTGGACAGCATGTGTAGGGGCATGTGTGAGAGCAGCGCTAGACTGGAAAACGTGGGTATGCAGTTGAAATCTATCTAGTATTCTATAGGCCCTAAATATCTACGACTAGTAGTAACACCCATAGCTGCTGGCTAATATTTAACTAGATTAGAACATTGGAAACTAGCCTTGTTAAGTCTTGTGGTTAATAAACTTTAGAATCTCAGGTCCTGATGAAAGAAAGTTGATACCGCAGTCTTAAATAGAAGTAGGTATAAAGAATATCATTGTGTACATTGTCAAAGGTCACATTGTGTGACCTTTACATTGTGTTCAATACAATGTCACAAAAAAATAGAAATAAAATATCTGTATATGTGACCATAGGAAGCACTATTTGCGAAACGCGTCTTGATGACGTGATGCACGATGGCTACAAGAGATGACAGAGTTCATGTAAATTAGCCTTGCGGGTATGACGTCTTCAAAACAATATTCTTTGTACCTACTTTTTTTTATTTATTTTTTTATTTTTATTTTTTAAAGTGCAAAGAAAAAACATACATGTTTATGGATACATGACTACAAAAATGCTCCACTGTTTTTTGTTTTTTGATAACATGCAAAGAATGCACATATAGTTAGAGAAAATAACAATCACAGACTAGTATGAATTTATTTTTTACTGTTTATTTTATTGGCACAGCCTTGCCTGTCTTTAGACTAGTAGGAACGTTAGGTGAGTAAGATCTAAAATGATAAGCATAGCCAATGGAAACACAGTAGAGTTTACCAGCAGTATGGGTTATAAAACAAAGAGCAACAGGCAACCCTTTATGAGTAAAAGACTCTTCGCCGATTTTCCTTTTCTGGGCCAGCAACAGTCCCACGTGTAACCACTCAAAATCACAGGACCTCCAGCCATCCACCATGTGGTTTGCTGCATGCATCAGAACAATGTGGGATCTTCCCCGGAGACGCTGCTGCAGAGTCACTCCAGCAGGGCGGACAGGATTCAAGCTGCGCTCCCTTCTGCGAAAAGCAGCCGAGAAAGTCTGTGAAGATTTGCTCTAGTCTGCTGTGCGTGTCGCTAGGGTAGACAGAGGGAACAGAGTAGGCCGCAGACGTCGCCATGTTGTCCGCTATGGGGCCTTTGGAACTCCCGGGACTGGGATAACCCCACCGGTCCAAAGGGGGTGGGGAGTAGAAGAGGGCAGCAGAAGTAATCACCTGACTATGCTGGGTACAGGCAAGTGGTCATCCCTCCCATACTGAGTCAGCTAGTAGTAGTAGGCTGCCAGCAGTGCAGTGCTGCAAGAATGTAAGACAGGGCTGCAGAAGTGGTATCACTGTGTTCACAAGTTGTTCCAAAAACAGGGATAATGGTGTGAAATAAGGTATATTCAGTAAAATGTTGAGAAAATCAGGTCAGTTTAGACGTGCTGCAGCCCTGTGCTTCCTCACAGCATGGCAGCCAAGCCCCGCCCCGCCCCGTACATACTTCTTTTTAAGACTACAGCTTGGAGTGCTTGGACTGTGTTCTTACATTATGATGGATGACTGGAGAGGATGGCCACCTCGGTTGCACTGATGCACTGTGGGTGTGAATAACAGTATATAATATATGTTATATAGTATGTACATCGTGCAGGTCCATTTGTATTTATATCTATACCAGATAGGGTCAGCTGGGATTTTCATCCTTCCGAGGTCAACTAAACAAGTACCATTGAGCTGGGAATTAGTCATATTGTCTCACCAAATATACACAGTATTTCAGTAGGGTCAAGTGGTGTACAGGCCTCGGGGAATATCTCCCTGATATCTGTCTCATTATTGTGTGTTTGTTATATTGTCTCACCAGCATCTGATTTGCTTCTTTCACATTGTGTGTTTAAACACAGAGTGCCCTTGGGAGACAAAAAGAAAAGCATTCTATAAAAAAAAAATATATATTTTTTTTTTATTACCAAGACTGTTACTTGACTCATAGTTATACTATGTGACCTGAACATGAACTAGCCGATTCCCCAAAAAACTGACAACCCCCTCCTGTGTCTGGAAGGCTTATCCACAAACCAGGAATTCTTGCATTGTCTAGATTTAGAAGAACAAATTAGAGTACAAAATGTGTTTTTGTTTGTTTTTTCTTACATACTTTTCTTTGCTTAATATATGTTATATAGTGGCCCTATCCAGGTCACTGCACAATATGTAACTGTACCCAAGTCAGGGAGTTGCAGACACTACAATAGTATGATAACGCATTAAGGTCATGGATGCTTTGCAATCTTGGCCTGTCAGTGCTTAGAAATAATCCTTGTGAATATAGCACACAGACAATGTATTCTTCTGACCTATATTGGATAATATGGACTTATGTGTTTGTTTTCTTTTATAAACAAGATTTATTACAATGTCGGATATTCACTAAAGTGTGAATTGTCAGGATTTATGGACAAAATAGCAGAACCGAAATCTTAATTTTGGAGTTTATTTTCCACTAGTTTGTTAATTGTAGCCCAGGAGTAGGTAACCTTCGGCACTCCAGATATTGTAGACTGCATCTCCCACGATGCTTTGGCAGCATTACGGGTATACGAGGATTATGGGAGATGTAGTCCACTACATCTGGAGTGCCAAAGGTTGCTTAATCCTGCTCATAGCCTAAATTCTGATATTAACTGTGAATTCACTCAGAATTCCTTCACACTTTACTGAATAAACCTCTGAGTGGCAGTAATGTTCTAAACTGTTTGATTATTAGGGTTAAGTGGGAATTGCTGGGAATTCAGAGGGAGTTCAAAGGGAACGTCAAACTTTGATTTGGCTATTATGCCCTAAATTTAAAATTCACTTTGAATTCATTCAAAATTTTGGGTAATTCATACTTTAGTGAATAATCAGAGGGATCCATCTAAGAAGGATCCAGTGCAGTATTTAAAATGTACAAAGAAAATGTGTTGTTGAGACCTGTGTCCGGATCCCCGTCTCGTTCCTAATTGAAGTATGACCTTTAGGAGGTCAACTTCGTGGAAGGCACTTTGAGAACATGTAAATTCACATAGATTTGTGAGTGCAGCTAAATACTGCGTGATTGTTATATATTTTACAATATCACACTATGTTGTATTTTTTTTTTTATATTTTATTAGGCACATCAGGTGTATCCTACTTTATTTTTTTGTATTTTTATCGACTATAAGAGATCATTGTCTGGGAGGTGATCTGTGGGAATCGGATTTTCACTGTTTAAGATAAGTATTATTTGATTGTATATACTGTTTTCGGTGTAGGATTAATTGTACAAAATGTTAAATATAGAGTATTCCACTGAATATCAGAAATAAAACAAAATAACCAACCACAACAAAGCGAAAAGGGCTTTTATAGTCAATAATAAAATATAGGTTGCAGAACAATAGTTACAATACAAAATGTTTGATGAAAAAAGGGTGAAAAGAGACAGGGGGTCATTCATAATATTGTGACTTGTCCAAAATTTGTGAAACATTAATCTCTTCCCATTTTAGGTCCCAATATTTCCTGTTCAGCTATTTTTACCTAAAATTAGAAATTTACTATTTTTTGAGTAACTCTACTTGCATTTTATTTTAACACAGAAAACATGTCCGGCTTTAGAGCAGTGGGAGGTACAACAAAGAAGGTTTTTCAACAACAGCTAAGTGATAGAATGTTTCATACGTCTAGTTATTAATACATTTCATAACAATGAGATTAAGTTACAGCTAATACAGTATTGGTTTGAGATTCACTGTTCCGGTGCGACAGGTGAAAAGGCATCTCAGTCCAATCCTATAATTTTCCAAAATGTAAAAATAGCAGAACTATATGCGGCTGTTATATACATAAGGGAGTCACCTAGTATTGAGGTGACGGGTAACAGTTGGTGTGTGGTGAGAACATAATAGAAAATACTTATACGCCCAGCCCAATTTAGGACAAAGTGGTACATTGGATAAAATGGAGCAAAGCAATTAGGTGCCTAAATGGCTCACTGGCAGCTATACCCTACCACTCCCATAATTCTTAGTTGCAGGAGCAGTTTCATCAGACGTTCGCTGTCCTTGGTTTACCTCTATGGGCCTAGTATATTTGTATTATCCTGTAACTACGGCACAGAATGCTTTTCTGGGGGATATTTATTATCCCGGGAAATATGCTTAGCGAGCAGAGAAACTCTAGAACGTTGTATATTCCAGGCCGTGGTACTAGACTGCCTGATATCATTGAGAGTTGGAACTCAAGAAACGCTGGAGAAATACAACCGAGGGCCTAATACTAAACTTTATGGGTAGTTATGGTACTTTTGAAGGTTAATGAGTGAATTTTCACACCATTTCAAAATATATAGGTCAAATGCTTTATTATGGAATGCTTTGATACCATTTCTTAAGTGCAGAGCTCCCTCTACTGGCCCAATTGTAAATTAACCAATATATAATAGGGGTGCACTTAGCATAATAGTACTAAGAATAATTATTCGACATCTCACAGTCTTCCAATAAGTGTGAAAACACGTAAAAAAGAAAATACACTATATAGTGCAGATCAAATATGATAATGGCCGTATACAATTAGTTAGAAATGTCTATGATTTATTGTATGTAATTATGAATCCAGGTAATAAAACCAATAACACATACTGGAAATGTGAATATAATTGATGTTTAAAAATTTATGGAAAATTAGAGAAATGGCATTTTTCAGGGAGTCTTATTTTTCCTATTTGAGCACCTTTTCACATTTGTTTTTTAACAAGTTGAAAATCAGGTCATCAATATGGTTGTCAGTTCAAACTTGTTGCAAAGAATTGGAAATATTTCAGAACTTTGAATTTGGGGCAGTCAACAAAGAAAAATCTAGGTCACTTTGGCATAACTCAGACTGGAATTTGACCGTCATGAAGATTATTGTAAATGCTATTGAACAATTTAGGGGAAATATGAGAGATTTGTAGCCTGAGCTACTTGTTCTGTGCCTGGAGATTCATCATTAACGCAACGACACTGGAACGTGGCAAGAAGAACACGTGTAATCATGACCACTGGCCAGATAAAAAAACAAAAACTTTTTTATGTCATGATTAAATTTGGATCAATTTCACGAACACATTGGTGATGAGAAAAGGCTTTCATAATACAGCTTTTAAAGAAATTTATATAGGGGGCAGAGCCTGGCCGCCATTGTGAGCAGTCGCATCGACCCGGAGCTCCGGACCAAAAGCTGACTTTAACCTTTGTTCTTGTTGTTTTACTCGGCTAACCGGGCTTACTACCACGGAATCTCTTGGCTCAGCTGTGGCGGCTGGACTGTTTTGCGGCCTAGGTGGTAGCATAGGCGCGGAAGAGGCTGCCGATCTCTCTGCCCATTGTTCCCTCAAACCAGAGACTGAAATGACCGCAGATCACCAGCTATCCCCCCTCCTGCTGGTAAAGGATATACAGGGAGTGCAGAATTATTAGGCAAATTAGTATTTTGACCACATCATCCTCTTTATGCATGTTGTCTTACTCCAAGCTGTATAGGCTCGAAAGCCTACTACCAATTAAGCATATTAGGTGATGTGCATCTCTGTAATGAGAAGGGGTGTGGTCTAATGACATCAGCACCCTATATCAGGTGTGCATAATTATTAGGCAACTTCCTTTCCTTTGGCAAAATGGGTCAAAAGAAGGACTTGGCAGGCTCAGAAAAGTCAAAAATAGTGAGATATCTTGCAGAGGGATGTAGCACTCTTAAAATTGCAAAGCTTCTGAAGCGTGATCATCGAACAATCAAGCGTTTCATTCAAAATAGTCAACAGGGTCGCAAGAAGCGTGTGGAAAAACCAAGGCGCAAAATAACTGCCCATGAACTGAGAAAAGTCAAGCGTGCAGCTGCCGCGATGCCACTTGCCACCAGTTTGGCCATATTTCAGAGCTGCAACATCACTGGAGTGCCCAAAAGCACAAGGTGTGCAATACTCAGAGACATGGCCAAGGTAAGAAAGGCTGAAAGACGACCACCACTGAACAAGACACACAAGCTGAAACGTCAAGACTGGGCCAAGAAATATCTCAAGACTGATTTTCTAAGGTTTTATGGACTGATGAAATGAGAGTGAGTCTTGATGGGCCAGATGGATGGGCCCGTGGCTGGATTGGTAAAGGGCAGAGAGCTCCAGTCCGACTCAGACGCCAGCAAGGTGGAGGTGGAGTACTGGTTTGAGCTGGTATCATCAAAGATGAGCTTGTGGGGCCTTTTCGGGTTGAGGATGGAGTCAAGCTCAACTCCCAGTCCTACTGCCAGTTTCTGGAAGACACCTTCTTCAAGCAGTGGTACAGGAAGAAGTCTGCATCCTTCAAGAAAAACATGATTTTCATGCAGGACAATGCTCCATCACACGCATCCAAGTACTCCACAGCGTGGCTGGCAAGAAAGGGTATAAAAGAAGAAAATCTAATGACATGGCCTCCTTGTTCACCTGATCTGAACCCCATTGAGAACCTGTGGTCCATCATCAAATGTGAGATTTACAAGGAGGGAAAACGGTACACCTCTCTGAACAGTGTCTGGGAGGCTGTGGTTGCTGCTGCATGCAATGTTGATGGTGAACAGATCAAAACACTGACAGAATCCATGGATGGCAGGCTTTTGAGTGTCCTTGCAAAGAAAGGTGGCTATATTGGTCACTGATTTGTTTTGTTTTTGAATGTCAGAAATGTATATTTGTGAATGTTGAGATGTTATATTGGTTTCACTGGTATTAATAAATAATTGAAATGGGTATATATTTGTTTTTTGTTAAGTTGCCTAATAATTATGCACAGTAATAGTCACCTGCACACACAGATATCCCCCTAACATAGTTAAAATTAAAATCAAATTAAAAACCTGTTCCAAAAATATTCAGCTTTGATATTAATGAGTTTGTTGGGTTCATTGAGAACATGGTTGTTGTTCAATAATAAAATTAATCCTCAAAAATACAACTTGCCTAATAATTCTGCACTCCCTGTATTACCTTAGATATAACAACTTGCAGAATGTCTTGTGGAGCAAACATCCTAGACACCATCCTGCCAAAATGGCGAATGCCGTGCTACTCACTGAAGGTCCCTCAACTTCCTGTAGCCTGGCACCACTCAACCCGTCCAGTCTAGACAGAATATTCACAGGCTTTTGGGCCAAGCTTTACGAGCGAATGTATGCCTTCTCACCTGCGGTCAGACCTCTCTGGTGCCCTCATCTGTGGAGGTGGCCGCAAGATGGGAGGTGTCAACGGCCCTTCAAGGTGTGGGCGACGTCGGGGGAAGCATTGCAGACTGACATGGAGAGCCTGTCTTCCATACCCTTTTCGCCTTCGGGCAGGGAAACCAAACTGCCGAAGCACTACAACAGCAGATCATCCTTCTTACACGGTTTAGGCCTTCAAGAAGCATTCCTCTGTACCAGCCTATACCCAATGTCCGGCGCCTGATGCCCACTGGGTCTCCGGCATACCTGCTGTCTTCTGCTTTGAGAGACTGTAATTGTGCCCAAATTGGGACCATACTCAGATGGGTCTTTCCCACCATTGCTCTGAACTCATTCTAGTGCATTGCGTTATACATTAACATATACCTCCAGTCTGTTATCTTTATTTCCACCGCTTTATTATAGCCTCTGTCTGTCAGCGTGTGATTAATCACTATTCCCATTAACAAAAAATGTGCAACGTTTTCGATGTCAGACAACTGTTACACTATTCCTAATGATCTTTTTGCTCCAACTGTTGTGGCAGTGCAAACCTGTCTGTTTAACCTATGCACAAATAAAATAAAGAATTTTAAAAAAAAATTAAAAAAAGTAATACATTTATATTAAGCTAGCTATGGATTTATACGAATACTCAGAGCTCTTATTGCTTATGTGCACTAGTAACCTATAAGAAATAAGTATATGGAAAATATAAAGTAAGAGGAATTAAATGAGAGCTTCGTGTGGATGGGGTGGGGTTCTGAAATATGAAATGGTCGTCTGGTGTTCTGATATTTCAGACAGGGCATTCCAGAGTTGTGTTTTCAGCATCAATAAGAATTGATCTACTCTCTGTCTTATTCTATTGCTTGACCTACATATTGTAACTGTATATAGTGAAAAAAAACCTGACCCAGAGGCTCCACGTGGGGGGTAACCCTTATATTATCAATAGACATAAAAACACCTTATTAAACCACAGTGGCCCTCTGAAGGTATCTTGGATTTTATATACAATGCTGTATGCATGCTATTCATTAGACATATAGATTTCCTTGGAGAGTTAATCAAATACAGCTTTTTCGTTCACCCTGCGTTTCACAAGCACACATCTGATTGGTCCAGGTGTAATACCGACCATTTTTATCTTGTTTCATGACTATCCCCCCTTTAATAGATCCTAAACCTCAGTGACCTATGGGCCACTGTGCTTTAATAAGGTGTTTTTTTTTTTTTTGACCTACATCTGTCTTGCATTTGGGGACCTAATAAGTGGATGCTAAGTTCCAGAGAGAGCTCAGCAATGCTGGTTGTTAAGTAAGCGAACTGCAGTAGCTCTTAGATTCAATTCCTAGCAAAGTCAACTCAGCCTTGCATCCTTCTATGGTTGACAAACAGGTATCATCATTAAGTTGGGTAATAGTAATATTTTGGCGTAGGTTGTACATGAAAACTGCAACATGCAGAAAGGATAGCTGTTTTGGTTAAATAGTTTGATATTATTATAATTATTATTCACCATCACTCATTGGTCTGTGTACTCTAAGGGATACTTTGTACTCTAAACGATGTACTGAGACACTTGCAAGAAAATGGAACTGGTAGAGTTTCCAATGGGATATAGGAGAACACGTACTTAATTAGGACATAAAAGGCTCATCCTAGAGAGTATAATGAAATGATCAAAACAGAAACAAGACAATACCATTACAAGTTGTATTTTATTCAAATAATTGTATTTTATCAACCTTTATATGTACCCATTTGATAGGAACGAATTCAGGAGTGCCCACGCTATTTGATAGCTATTTATTATCACTGTGTTACTTTTTTAGTACACATGCTTGGGTAATAATACCTGTGTTACTTTGTTAGTACACATGCTTGGGTAATAATACCTGTGTTACTTTGTTAGTACACATGCTTGGGTAATAATACCTGTGTTACTTTGTTAGTACACATGCTTGGGTAATAATACCTGTGTTACTTTGTTAGTACACATGCTTAGGTAATAATACCTGTGTTACTTTGTTACTACACATGCTTGGGTAATAATACCTGTGTTACTTTGTTACTATAAATGCTTAGGTAATAATACCTGTGTTACTTTGTTACTACACATGCTTGGGTAATAATACCTGTGTTACTTTGTTAGTACACATGCTTGGGTAATAATACCTGTGTTACTTTGTTAGTACACATGCTTGGGTAATAATACCTGTGTTACTTTGTTAGTACACATGCTTAGGTAATAATACCTGTGTTACTTTGTTACTACACATGCTTGGGTAATAATACCTGTGTTACTTTGTTACTATAAATGCTTAGGTAATAATACCTGTGTTACTTTTTTACATTAATGAGACTGTCACTATACATGTTTTGTATTGAAAGTTAATCATTTTTGTTTGAATATAACTAGAGATTATATAAGTAGGTTAATGCTATTATCCAGGTTACTGTGTCATTTTCGTTACTGTTAGCCTTCCGGTATTTTGGGTTATAATAATTGTGTCATTTCTTTACTACAGGAAACAATGTTTGTTGTTTATTTAGGTTAATAACTAGGTATTACTAATATAAGCTTGCGGAGCACATTTCAATAGACCATCTGGGTATTTTTATGTAATAAAAATAAAATATTTAGTTAAAGCATAGCCGTTATAGCCTTCTAAACATAAAACAAGTTAAACCATAGCTAAACGTTTTTTAAAATTATGGAATGAAGACATAATAGAAAATTAAAAAAATTATAATAATCAAGTAATACATTGTTAAGCTACGGATACACAAATAATATTCAAAGATGTGATATTTATCTTCAAAATGTTAAAAAAAATAAACATTTCAATCTACAGCATTAGTGCAGGTAGGTAGAGTCATTGCATGTGCCCATTATCACTATATTAACCTTTTAAGATGGGTCAGTAATACTTCTCTTTATTAACACTTCCCCTGTTAGTTTCTAAGGGACTTTCAAAGGAATCTAAGCTATGCAAGTGGTTAGATGGATAGAGCATTCAACTCGAAAAAAGAAGGGTGCACTTGTGATGTATAGTCCTCCTAATTATACCTTCTTTTATATCCTATAAAAGGAAAAAAAACATTTTGAACTGGTCAATCTGTACAGTGCACATACTGGGCTGAGCATGCACGAGAGTACAACACCGAGGTCTATGAAGGCTCCTGAAAGACCGCAGGATCCTTCATAAAGCCTCTTTATCTACAGTCATCACAAGTGACAGCTGGGGGAAATGTCAAAACTTTAAAAAGTTAGCTCAGCCTTTTGTCAAGAAAAAATAGATAAAATAGCCCCTGCTTTGTCTAAATATATGGACAGCGTTGGAATGTCAGTGAAATTCCAACACAGTCAATGTGAGTATTTCATTAAGATTATGTATGAAATGTATGACTATTGACAGGCTTTCCTTGACTGGTTCTGTTTTCAGATTTCCTTCTATAAATTATCATTTTACCTTATGGGAAGAATATTAGTAAACATTTTGTTACAGGACTGAGTTTTACCCCAATATCACAAGTAAAACTTGGAATTGAAGATTTAAGTAATAAGCGATATAAAATCTAAGGTGTGAGTCTATATTATATATTCTTTCACTTTACACAGTTAAAGGACCACTATAGGCACCCACTCCACTTCAGCTCAATGAAGTGGTCTGGGTGCCGGGTCCCCCTAGTTTTAACCCTGCAGCTGTGAACATAGTTTCGGAGAAAATGCTATGTTTACGCTGCAGGGTTAATCCAGCCTCTACTTGCTGTCTCCCTGACAACCACTAGAGGCCGCTTCCGCAATTTACGCTGAGTAAATCGCACTTAACTGATGCTGGATGTCCTCATGGAGTCCAGCGTCAGATAAGATCCCCATAGGAAAGCATGGGCAGGTTTGAATGCGCGCGCGCTTCAGGCCGCGCATGCGCATTCAGCTCCACTTGGGAGCTGACGTCGACGGGGAGGAGAGGTCACCAGCGCCGATGAAGCTGGATTAAGGTAAGTGGCTGAAGGGGTTTTAACCCCTTCAGCGCCCAGGGAGGCAAGCCCCAAGGGAGGGGGGCTCTCCAAGAGCCTATAGTGCCAGGAAAAGGGGTTTGTTTTTCTGGCACTATAGGATCCCTTTAATGTCAGTGTTGCCAAAACATTGTATTTTTTAAGTGGGTATGTAAAAGTCCACCTTTTTAAAACTTATTTCGTACAGCCGCCTGTTTTCATTCGTCAACTGCCTCCATCGTCGTTGAGGTATTTAACAAAATGTGTAACTCTAAATATAGCCAACTCTTAATCCCGTTTTATCTGTTTAATTTTTCACGTTTTCTTGATGTGGATCACAAAACTCTTTCTGATGTCACACGCTCTAGTTACCTATCACCTCAGTGAATAGAGCTTTCCAGAGGTGCACATCCTAGCATGGCATGGATCTTGCAGGGATACGATAGGTGTCTAAAACAGAATCTGCCCAAAACTCTTCTTACTTTTTTGTCTTGAAATATTTTGTTTTAGTTGCATCACCTAATTTAATTACTGTTTTTGTATCTGTGAACATGGGCAAACATTGGCCACAGTTTTAATTTGAGTGACATATAAATTATTTTTTACAAAATTGTTTATAGCTATAGGAAAAGTAGTTTTCCAGCACCCTGTTATAACTATATACATTGTCGTATATATTTGTGGCAATGGTTTATTAGAAGAACAGGGCTGTCTAAGGTCCGTCTTCAACAAATCTGACCAGGGATTTGGTCACAAGCTACATTTTAACTGAACGGCTGGAAACTCCGCTGCCAGATTGGCTGTATCTGAGACCATACCCACTACATGTATATATGTGAGACCTGCGATCTGTACGACAAAGCAGAGATGACGAGAGGTATATGTGGTGCAGGCAGGTGGGAATTATATGCCCGCCATGATAAAACATTTATAACAACTCTGGTGGACCAAAGTGCATGTCATTATCCTTCTGCTAAGGACACAAATTGTCTGCCTTACTCAAACCCCTTCCCCAGATCCCTATTCTGATAAGCAAACTACCTAGGGTTACTTAAAACGAGGTGTCATCAAAATATTATACAGAAAGTACCAGTGGAGGTTGGTTCATAGGGGCAGGTGGAGCAGTGGCCCCATCAGGTTTTGTTGCAATAAATAAATAACATATATTGGTGTTATCAATCATATTTTTTTTAGTTTTTCAGTGCACTACCCATCTTTTTTGGTGTCTTGAAGTGATGCAGAGGCTGAGCAACTGATTATGTCATGATTATGGGGCAGTTTGAAAACACGTCCCATTTTACAGGTATGCATCCCACCGACATGCTTAGTCTGCTTAGTGGAGTTTCTGACGTCGTCCATTGGCTTTGAATTGGTTTATCAAATCACGTACACTCGAAAAGATAGGACTGCATATTTTCTGTCTTATAAGTAGCATCATCAGAAGGTGGGGACAGACCTCCATAGTGTTTGTTGCTTACCAGATAAATGTGTCTATAGGATTATGGTGTTGAGCAGGGCATACGACTGGATCAGGTGTTGAGTACATGGGTTTAGGTGGATCCTAGTGCTACACTATCTTGAAAATTCACTAGCCGCAATTTGAAACGAGATTGAGCCTCCACGAATGAAAGTACAGCAATTCAAATACAGTTGGCTGATGTTTGGGGAATTTACTCAAGGATAATGTTGCAAAGTGACAGACATTTTTCTGAGATTGCTATCATCTTGCCATCAACTTAAGTATTCTACGGTCTGAAGTTTACTGGAAAATATATTAAACCTAGAAAAACTAATTGCATCATCTTCGACATACTTTTGACAAAGATCCCAGTGACTCTGGCTCATATTATTATCAGTACCTTTTAGTGAAAACTTTAACGTTATTTATATTACATTTCTTCAGTATATTTATTCAATGTCCATCCCTACTAAGGCATTTCATCTCCAATTTTTAAGAAAAAAAAAAAAAAGAATTCTGAGTTTATGAAATAATTTCTTTATTTACAAAGTTCAGTCTCAAAATCAGAAAACACCCACTGTGTGTAGAGAAAGAGGTAAGAAAATAAGTGCAATGCTGGCATAAGTCCTTCCAGTGTTTTTAGAGCCAAAAAAGAAAGTCACGATGAATTTGGAGGTTACACAAAAACAAGAGAGAAATAATTAAGGAACAAAAGAGGAAGAGTTAAGAGCAAAGAAAGCTGGCAACATTATCATACAATTTACACAGTTGCTGAGTGACATGAAACCAACAATTGGCACGGAAAATTAAACTAGCAGAACTAAGGGAGACACGAAGTTTTGAAGTGGGTACGAATAGAAAATTAGAGAGGTTCAGAAATTAAGCTGCTTATTGAAATTGGAAACACAAGAACAGGTGAAAAAAGGCGTGACACTTGTTTTGGGAATGGAGAAGACCTCGGAAATAAAAAAATAAAAAAACGTAGGCAACGGAGAAGTATTTATTGAAAAGTAAACGCAAAGAAAGTTATTCAAGGGAAATGGGGAAGCAAATCCGGCAAAACAGAATGTATATTCCAAGTGTATACAGTACGGTATATTTATACATCTATATCATCTTCATGAAAATCCTTGGTCACCAGAAAGGTTGTATATGCAACACTGACATTGGGTCAGTCCTCTTAGAGATAAAGATGATTATCACTATAATTAAAGTGTGGAAACATTCAATTGGACAGTAAAACAGGAAATGACATTTTCCGTTGAATATTTATTTTGCGGCCCAAAAGAAGTATGTTACTGGACTTCTATTAGAAAGGGATTGATGTAATTGCAAGGCATTGTCTTGGTAGAGGAAATAGTGTTGTGTACAACGTTACTACATCATTGTATTACTCGGTAGGTTGAGAGCAGAAGATTGTTTCACAGTACAGTACATGTCCACATATTGGATACTAATGCTTCTTCCACAGAATTTGTATTAGGAAATGTTACCGTAGCACCAAGCATCTCAAAAGGGCTCATTAGATGGCCCTGTGCACAGGTCCCTTTTTAGGGTGACATTAATTTGCAATGTTCTGTAGTGTTTTCAGAACCTTTCAAGTTTTGACTGTTAATTATTCACAAGTTGCCCCTGGTTGGAGCAGTTTAATTCCTCAATCTGGTCCACCACGGGTCATGACCTGCTCAGAGAAAATCCTTTTCAACTGAGCTACCTCTGCTGATAGTGAGGCAAGTTGGGATCGAAGATCAGTGCTATCCGAGGCAGGTGTATTTGCTCCATCTTGACCTTGAGCATTCCACCGTCCTCGGGGGCAGGTTAACGATTGCTGGGGGTATCCAGGGGTTACATCAGGGACAAAATTGCTGCTTTCTCTTGCCACAGGTGCTGTACCACCCATTCCCTCCTCACCAGAGGCACATGCCTTAAACCTCAACTTGTGTGGGAGACACTTATAACTATCTCCAAGAGTTTCTAGCCTACCACGAGGATTTTCTATTGTCTCCCCTCCAACAGCTCCATAATAAGTCATATTTGTAGCAGGCAGTGGTTGTGCTTCTTGCTCAGGGACCCTGTCTTCAAAGAAAACTGGGCTGCCCACACTAGGGGTTGAGAACCCAGAGTCTTCAGAGTGAGGCAGAGGTGTAGGAGCGTTTGGAGGGGAAGGTTCATGGTGTGAACAAGGAGGTGGATAGGCTCGACTTTCTTCACAAGGGTCCCGAACAAGGCCAAAACGGAAGCGTAGAGCAAGGAGCTCTGCACGGAGCCTAGCATTTTCTTCAAGGAGTGCAATAACACGACTCTCCAGGGCAAGGTCACCTGCTCGCCGCTTCTCCCTTGAACGTTTTGCTGCCTCATTATTCTTGCGTCTTTTGTCCCAATAACTGTCGTCTTTCTTCTCATCTGGGGTGAATTCCCGCCGGCGGCGCAGGGCGGAGGAGGACGGAGAAGGTGATGAAGAAGGAGAGGATGAAGAACTTCGTCGACCAAGCAGTGATCGAGCAAGGAGAAGACCAGAACCTGACAGGAGAGATCCTGAGGACGAGGAATCTTCAGCTATGTGGTTTTGTGAAGGAGGGCCATATGGCTCCAGTGTAGGTGGAACTGGGTGTAAAGTAGAATCATCATTGTTGGGGAAAGTTGCCAGACCATTCATGGTAGGGTGCGGGGAAAGGGCAGGAGGGGGGAGATCACTGAGCTGAGCCAGGATTCCGTAAAACTTGAAGTCAAAATAGGAAGTCCTGAAAAAAAACAAAAAAAACAAAGCTAAGAATTACATTGAAATACTGAAAACAAATATATAAATAACTTAGGAGAACTTTGAATCAGAAATTAAAAGAAGAAAACCACAAGTCATGGACAAAATGTGTTTTTTCAATAGTACAGTTATATAGGGCAACTAATATCTCTGTATCCACCACTAAAGCACTGATCTTACATCTGTGACTCAGCAATGACGGTTCCAGGCTTCTAAACTACACCTTCTGGCCATACGCATTGCTAACTAATGACATTCACCTGTCCAATAATATACCCCAAACTAATCACATTTACACATCCAATCACATACCCCAAACTAAGGACATTTACCTGTCCAATCACATACACAAAACTAATCACATTTACCCATCCAATCACATACACCAAACTAATTAAATTGACCTTTCCAATTGGATATCCCAAACTAATCACATTTACCCTTCCAATCACATACCTCAAACTAATGACAGTTACCCATTTAATCACATACCCCAAACTATTTGCATATATGTGTGTTTGATGAGCCGCGGGCATTGAAGAAATTGGCCTTAGGGCTGCAGAGAGAGTAAATATGGTCCTGGCCGTAATGAGGTTAGTGGGACATGGAAGATCAATCAATCACGGCTTGTGTACACACCCAAGCTCAACCCTGTCGTATCCCACAGCCCATGCAATGTAGAAGGAGCTGGGGGTATTGTATTTAAGCTATTACAGCAGGAGAAATTATAAAGAGGGGACAGACAGCAGATGCCTTCTGGGTAGCAGGGATCAATGATAGGAGAGGATTTCTTCCCATATATTGTAGCCGTTGGTCATTTATTTCCATTTACAAATTAAGTTACTTAAATGTTAGGCCTCCTGGCAGCTTAAAGCTGACTTCAGCATTGTTGAATTCCTTACAACATTCTTGGTGCTGCCGGACTGCTCACTGATGACAGTTTATTTTCCAAGTTGGCCATCAAGGTGCAATACTTCACATCCAGTCTGCACCAAGAGCTTTAATAGTCAGTTTATAAAGGCTTCATTCCTCTTTCTTTTGAAAAAAACAAAAAGTATTGTTTGCCCATTATTTTGCCTGTAAGTCCAGAATGGTCCAACTTCAAACATTCTTCATAAGATGACATCATCCAACATTTATTTCAACCAAGTTTGCTTTACCACAGACATGGTGTAATTCTGAGACAGAGCACCACAGACACACTGTAACACTGACACAGAAAACCCTAGACACACTAAAACACTGAGACAGAGTCCCACAGACACACTGTAACACTGAGACAGAGCACCACATACACACTGTAACACTGAGACAGAGCACCACAGACACAGTGTAATACTGAGACCAAGTACAGACACACTGTAACACTGAGACCATGTACCACAGACACACTGTAACACTGACACAGAGCACCACAGGCACACTGTAACACTGATACAGAGCACCTCAGACACAGTGTAATACTGAGGCAGAGCACCCTAGACACAGTGTAATACTGAGACAGAGCACCCTAGACACAACTATAACACTGAGACAGAGCACCCTAGACACACTATTACACAGACCAAGTACCACAGACACACTGTAACATTGTAACACTGAGACAGAGCACCTACAGCGCACCACAGACACAGTGTAATACTGAGACCAAGTACCTCAGACACACTGTAACACTGAGACAGAGCACCACAGACACAGTGTAATACTGAGCAGAGAACCACAGACACACTGTAACACTGAGACAGAGCACATCAGACACAGTGTAATACTGAGCAGAGAACCACAGACACACTGTAACACTGAGACAGAGCACATCAGACACAGTGTAATACTGAGCAGAGAACCACAGACACAGTGTAACAGTGAGACAGAGTACCACAGACACAGTGCAATACTGAGCAGATAACCACAGACACAGTGTAACAGTGAGACAGAGTACCACAGACACAGTGCAATACTGAGCAGATAACCACAGACACAGTGTAACAGTGAGACAGAGTACCACAGACACAGTGTAATACTGAGCAGAGATCCAAAGACACGGTGTAATACTGAGCAGAGAACCACAGACACATTGTAACAGTGAGACAGAGTACCACAGACACACTATATCACTGGGACAGAGCCCGACAGACACCGTGTAACACTGAGACCAAGTACCAAAGACATATTATAACACTGAGACGAAGTACCACAGACACACTGTAACACTGAGAAGGGCTACCACAGACACACTGTAACACTGAGAAGGGCTACCACAGACACACTGTAACACTCAGAGAAACACAGCCACACTGTAACACTGAGACAGAGTACCACAGCATATTGTAATACTGAGACCAAGAACCACAGACATATTATAAAAATGAAACCAAGAACCACATACATACTAAGAATAGGAACATGTATCACACACAGTGAGAACAGGATACACATATGCTGTAACACAGAAACACTGTAACATTGAGGACAAGACACATTGTGTTTGTACCACAAGTATGTGTTAACAAAGAGAGCATGTAACACACAACGACATAAACATTAACATATATACATGTTAAATGACACAAGTATGAACAGAAAGAAACATTATAAACGAGAAAAAAAACTTAATTAGGTCAGTAAGGCATATTATTATACAATATCAGCTACCATGTGCAAAGGATGTACAAAGACACGCACAATGTATGCTTGCATGCTCTATCCTGCGGTCATAATTGTGTAATCATTTCTTGGAAAGCAAGGACACAAACAATCATCTTATGAAAGAAAAAACCTTCATGGGTGTGTCTGGTACATTCAGAGAATCCAACACACATAAAGAAAGAAAATCTCTCACATCACGCACAGACATTTAATACACACATAAAGACAGATACAATCTCTCACATCACGCACAGACATTTAATACACACATAAAGACAGATACAATCTCTCACATCACACACAGACATTTAATACACACATAAAGACAGATACAATTTCTCACATCACGCACAGACATTTAATACACACATAAAGACAGATACAATCTCTCACATCATGCACATACATATAATACACACATAAATACAGACACGATCTCTTACATCACTGACAGACATATAATACACACGCAAAGACAGACACAATCTCTCACATCACTCATAAACATAAAATACACACATAAAGACATACAATCTCTCGCATCACTGACAGACATATAATACACACATAAACACAGACAATCTCTCACATCACTCATAAACATAAAATACACACATACAGACATACAATCTCTCGCATCACACACAGACTTATAACACACAAAGGCAGACACAATTTCTCACATCACACACAGTGATATAACACACAAAGACAGACACAATCTCTCACAACATACAAATAATGCACACAAAGACACACATATAAACACACAAACAAAATCAGATGGAAAGACAGACAGATGGGCGGACAGACAAACAATACAATACATGCAGTAACATTTATAAAATAAATTGCACAATAACAGACACATTTGTAAATACAACATTCACACAGGCAGCATCCATGAGTTCCTTTCTCTCTATGTGGCATATTAGAGCTGAAGTTTTGCAGAACAGTTGTTAGTGCTCCTCCTTCATTATATATCTATGTCTCTATGTACCTGAGTGTAAGCTCTGTGGGGCAGGATTCTCTGTATCATTTAAAATGTGTATGTTTATTAGAATATTTAAGTATGTAAACCCACATTATTATTTATTTTTTCAATTGAAGCATCACTTTTAAACTGTCATTTCTCTACTTGTGCATTTACTACCAATAAGTAGTAAGAACCAATAAGCACTAATATATGTCCCTAATTAAAAGTTAACCATCAGTTATTTTTCTAATTCCTTGTATAATTACAAATCCAATTATTCACAGACATTCTTTGTTCAACACAGCTACAGAGCTAACTGATGGCCATTAATTCTCCACTGTACTAATATTATCCCCAATTTCCAAACAATCCTGTCTTAACAGTTCTGTATATTAGAGTGCAAGCTCTGCGGTCAAGCTTTTTTTCTACCAGAGTAATTTCCAAATTCCTCAAAGGATTATTCTCTCCCCGCTGATGGATAGATGTTCCTGCGCATTAGAGTGTAAGCTCTGAGTGAAAGTATTTCTCCCAATAGGCACAGCCCCCAACTTTCACAGAATGTTTTATTAATTCAGTATTACAGTGTCAACTGTGCAGAAAGGATAATTCTCTCGGAACGTTTCCTCCTCTCTCTGCCTTATATTACTGTCACCCACTAGACACACAGGATATTAGAGTGCGAGCGCTTCAACATAACAATAGTCTCTGATGCTCATTATTAGAGCGCTAGCTCTGCAGCCCATAACTCAATTCTATCAAAATAATCTTATTTCATCTGATTTCTTCTGTTGAGAGGGTAAATATCTATTTTACCATATTATTAATGCTGCTCTATGTACATTGTGTTAAAGCCATTCCATAAAATGAAAAAATAAAATATGCAAAGTCATGAAAAGAATGTCTCTAAACCGCCCCCCCCCCCTCCATCTCCATAAGAATATTAGAGTGCAAGCTCTTCAGAATAGCAATATTGGGTGCACCCATTCTCTCAACAAAATCTCATTTCACGTAGTCACTCTGTAGAGGAAATACCTGTATTCCCCAACATTATTAATGTGCAATTCTATAGATTAGAGTGTAAGCTATGCTGACTATCATGCTTGTTTGTACCTTGTCTGAGCTCTCTCTGTTAGAGTTTGCTGCATGGCTTGCTGTGTATACAATGTATATAGTGTATGGGTGCTCTGTGTGTACACTGTCTGTATACTGAGGGTCATACTGTACCTGTCTGGGCTCTTGGTTTCCCTTTGGGGTCCTCTTCCCTGGCTGTCAGTGGTGTCTCTCCCTCTGCCTGTCTGTCTCTGTCTCTCAGCTCTCACACAGTCTGTGTTGCTGCCGGTCCCTCTCCTATCTATCTGTACATACACACAGTGTGTGTCTTTCTCTCCCTTCCCTACAGAGTTCACACGAGGCTGTGCATTCACCTTACTTAACCCTAGTGCGTCCTGTGAGAATGTGCCAGCCTCTCCCCTCCTCTCTCCCTCTGTCCCCTTCCCCTGTTCCTTGTCTTTAATGCTATATCCAGCCCCTTATCTGTCTCTCCTAAATGATGCACTGTAATATGATGATCTATGGCTCCAGCAGGATAAAAATACTGAGTACTGTACTATGCAAATACCACTGTACAGTAGCTTTATACAGAAGTGTGTTTTCATTATCAGTGTGTGAATACTCACTATAATTGTACAGTGCAACATGTTCATTATCACTGTATAGATACTCAGTATTATTATAAAGCGCAGTGTGTTCATTATCAGTGTATAGATACTCAGTATCATTATACAGTGCAGTGTGTTCATTATCAGTGTATAGATACTCAGTATCATTATACAGTGCAGTGTGTTCATTATCAGTGTATAGATACTCAGTATTATTATACAGCGCAGTGTGTTCGTTATCAGTGTATAGATACTCAGTATTATTATAAAGCGCAGTGTGTTCATTATCAGTGTATAGATACTCAGTATTATTATACAGCGCAGTGTGTTCATTATCAGTGTATAGATACTCAGTATTATTATACAGCGCAGTGTGTTCATTATCAGTGTATAGATACTCTGTATCATTATACAGCGCAGTGTGTTCATTATCAGTGTATAGATACTCAGTATCATTATACAGCGCAGTGTGCTCATTATCAGTGTATAGATACTCAGTATTATTATACAGTGCAGTGTGCTCATTATCAGTGTATAGATACTCAGTATCATTATACAGTGCAGTGTGTTCATTATCAGTGTATAGATACTCAGTATCATTATACAGCGCAGTGTGTTCATTATCAGTGTATAGATACTCAGTATTATTATACAGCGCAGTGTGTTTATTATCAATGTGTAGATACTCAGTATTATTATACAGCGCAGTGTGTTCATTATCAGTGTATAGATACTCAGTATTATTATACAGTGCAGTGTGTTCATTATCAGTGTATAGATACTCAGTATCATTATACAGCGCAGTGTGTTCATTATCAATGTATAGATACTCAGTATTATTATACAGCGCAGTGTGTTCATTATCAGTGTATAGATACTCAGTATTATTATACAGCGCAGTGTGTTCATTATCAGTGTATAGATACTCAGTATTATTATACAGCGCAGTGTGTTCATTATCAGTGTATAGATACTCAGTATTATTATACAGCACAGTGTGTTCATTATCAGTGTATAGATACTCAGTATTATTATATAGTGGGTTTACAGATGTTAAGTATCATATTCTGTAATTTGTTTAATCTTCAATTGCTTATGTTTTCCTTTTGTCTCTCACTTGTAGCCCTTCTCTCCATCCTTCTGTTGTCTAAGTAATGAGGTCACACAGAGCTGGTTCTGTAACATGCTGTAACATCAGCTCTACTGTAGTGCAGCCTGAGGGAAACTTACATAACGCAGTATGGAGAAATTCAGAATGTCTGCTCCTAACATAGAGTGACAGGAGCTATGTACATGGCGTCTGTCCCTCCCAGTAGAGGGTGACACAGACAGGAGGGAGCTATGGGACATGGAGTCTGTCCCTCCAAGCACAGGGTGACGCAGACAGGAGTACGCAATGGGACATGGAGTCTGTCCCTCCCAGCACAGGGTGACATAGACAGGAGGGAGCTATGGGACATGGAGTCTGTCCCTCCCAGCACAGTGTGACACAGACAGGAGGGAGCTATGGGAGATGGAGTCTGTCCCTCCCAGCACAAGGTGACACAGACAGGAGAGAGCTATGGGACATGGAGTCTGTCCCTCCCAGCACAGGGTGACACAGGAGGGAGCTATGGGAGTTGTGGGACTGTTTACCCATTTTTCAGTAGAGCTTTTCCTGTAACTTTATATTTGTATACTGTTTGCAAAAAACCTTCTGGAAAAATGAAAAACCGTGTCGCAGAATGTACATCCATCTTCACCCCACGAGGGCTTTGCAACGATGATGCTTCAAAGCAGAAAAAGAAAGCAAAGACAAGTGTTATGGAGCTTTGTGTATATACTAGTGAATACACAAATATAATCTGCAAAAGAAAAAGTTAGATAGATAGTGTGACAGATCCATCTGTGTAGAGACTGGGTTGCTGGATTCATCTGTTTGCCTGTTTTTGCCTTTTCGTGGAATTACCCGTTCGTATGCTGTTCAGTGAATTGACTTTTTCCGCCGAATATAACTACTGAACGGACGGCCACCTAGAAGAGAAGTGTGCTGCTGGTTAACCTATTGTTCCCAATTAGAACGTTGTGGTTAACCGCAGACACTTCTCAATTAAGAACCGAATACCGGGTGGTCGTCGTTCGTATGTCGACTACGAGGCGGCGGCCATTTTTAAAACATGCGAAAGACCAGCAGTGTTCGGCATATATTTCATGGAACTGAAAACGGACACTCTTTCTGTCGAACACCGCTGAAGCCGTCGACCTCCCCTTCTCAATCGACAGAAGGATGCGAACACCGGCCGTTCGGCAGGTTTAAACATACGAATGGACTTACCCCAGATAGCCTTCCCATGGAGTCAATCACATACCGAAGGACTGTAACAGACTTTGACTCCATGGCGATTGAACTATGCGTATGGGATCTGAGCGCTATTCGCCAATAATGTGCACTCAGATCCAGGCTATCTGGGGATATGTGATACGAATGGGTAGCATTCGACAGAAGCCAAGTTATATATTTTTATGTGTTTTTCTATATTGTATTTAAAATGGCGATTTGTCCTTGTCCTGGAGATAATTGAATTACTTCTCAATTATCTCCAGGGCAGAGGGGAGGGAATACTAATGCATGCTGGGAATATTCTGTGTCTGTGGATCCTAACTTGCCATATGTCTGTCTGTTATTACAGTCTCCCATTTGGTCCCCTAGGGGAGTGTCCACCAAGTGGGAGACCTGCATAAATACGGGCAGGTAGCCCACAGTAAAGCCAGTTCTTGTTTTACCCTTGTTACGGTAGTAGAAAATATCCCCGTCAAGCATTCCCTTCTTCCCATAAAAGAAAAGCACTCAATATTCCATAAGTAGAAATATCCCTGGAATCACCGAATAATCCACACATGAGCCAAAACTTAATGCTGGAACAAGACTGATTTACTGGCACACAGAACTCACAATTTATGCAACACAAAACTCCTCCTCTGGGCCAGGCTAGATAATTGAGTTTCTACAATACACAAAGCTCAATTATCTGCTGGCCAGAAACATTACAGTTTTTAATAATTTCAGAAACATACTTTTTACAAGACATACAAATATACTTTTAACATCCCTGGGTAGCTGAGGATACTGGTAGTCACATATCCAAATCTCACTAATTTCCGTTCGGTAGTTTCAGTGTCGAATCGTGTGGAAGTTTGACTGGCTTGCCATGTGGAGGTATCCGAGTTAGAGTTCCATAGAATCATTAGCAAGAGCCGGTCTCCATTCGCATTTTCCTGTTTTCTGGCATCCCTTATCGTTGTGTCTCTTTCTGTTTCCTTTGACCTCGGCTATTCCTGACTATTCTTTGGTAGGTTAGTCCGGCCATTCTAAGGTCCGGTATACCTTACCTATCAGTGATCTGTGTTACACAATTCTACGTGCTGGATCATTCTGTAATCCTGACATTACACACAGTACACTGAATACGAACACCGAGAGACTGCTGAATACACACACACACACACAGAGATTTCTGAATGCACACAGACTGCTGAGTCCATACACATACACACACAGACACACACACAGACATACAGACTGATGAGTCCATACACTCACACACAGACTGCTGAGTCCATACACACACACACAGACTGCTGAGTGCATACATACACACACACACACTGCTGAATCCACACACACACACACACACACACACAGACTGCTGAATACACACACAGACTGCTGAGTCCATACACACATACAGACTGCTGAGTCCATACACACACAGACTGCTGAGTCCATACACACACACACACACATACTGCTGAGTCCATATACACACAGAGACACACAGACTGCTGAGTCCATACACACACACATACACAGACTGCTGAGTCAATACACACACACACAGACACACAGACTGCTGTGTCCATACACACACACGGACACACAGACTGCAGAGTACACACACACAGAGACTGCTGAGTCCATACACACACACATACAGACAGACTGCTGGGTCCATAAACCCACAGACACACAGACTGCTAAGTCCATACATACACACACAGAGACTGCTGAGTCCATACATACACACAGACTGCTGAGTCCATACACACACCCACACACACACAGACTGCTGAGTCCATATACACCCCCCCACAGACTGCTGAGTCCATACACACACAGACTGCTGAATCCATACACACATAGACTGCTGAGTCCATACACCCACAGACTCACAGACTGCTAAGTCCATACACACACACAGACTGCTGAGTCCATACATACACACACATGTGTGTCATGGATGCAGGGTGTATAGTGGATGCAGATTATACGTTTTGTGTATTGTATGTAATGTTTGTATGCATGCATTAGATGCAGAGTGTGTGTAGTGAATGTAGGTGTGTAAAGTGAATGCAAAGTGTGTGTTTTTGTAGTGGATGTAGTATGTATAGAGCATGTAGTGTGTTTGTAGTGAGTGCAACGTGTGTATAGTGAATGCAATGTGTGTGTGTGTAGTGCAAAGTGTGTTTAGTGAATGTAGTGTGTGTGTGTGTAGTGCAAAGTGTGTTTAGTAAATGTAGTGTGTAGTGAGTGCAACGCGTGTATAGTGAATGTAGTGTGTGTGTTCTTTGGTACGTTAGTCCGGCCATTCTAAGGTCCGGTATACCTTACCTATCAGTGATCTGTGTTACACAATTCTACGTGCTGGATCATTCTGTAATCCTGACATTACACACAGTACACTGAATACGAACACCGAGAGACTGCTGAATACACACACACACACACAGAGATTTCTGAATGCACACAGACTGCTGAGTCCATACACATACACACACAGACACACACACAGACATACAGACTGATGAGTCCATACACTCACA